CCGTGGCAATACATTACCGTCGACTGCGTACGACGTTCCCTCATCCGGCGTCGCGACCGTGTCGCCGCGTACGATTTCCGCCGTCGCCGACGACCGGTAACGTTCTCGCTCGGGCGCGCTCGCGCGCGCGTGTGTGTGTGTGTGTGTGTGTGTGTGCGTGTGCGTGCGGTTCGACGACGACGACGACGACGACCACGGGCCCACGCCGGAATCGACTTCCGAACGGCGTGTCCGGTACGCGAAAAACGGAACCGCCGCGGCCCGGTAACGGCCTTTACGACCACGCGCTGACAAATACGCTCGTCCCGGTGGCCGCTTGGGCACGCGCGGTTAACATCGCTGCTTCCGTTATGCAAACAATCGCGGTCTTCCGATCGGCGACCGACGTTTTTGAAATCTCGATTACCGCGAACTGTGTTTTTTCGTTACACGTTAATTCTTTTTAATTTTTTTTTTTTTGTTCGTTTTTTTTTTTTTTCCTTCGTCCTTTACGCGTTTATAATTCGATTTTATCGTCGGCCCGCGTTATTGTGTTTCTTCGTGGTGTTCTACGCGTCACCCGACAGTGGTAAAACGTGACAGTCGTACAACGCGATATTTTACAGGTAAACACAGTTTTGATTCGTCAACATTGTTATAGCATTATCATAGATATGTATTATAAGCACCGCAGTAATTTCGAACATCAGTAGTCCGATTTTGATATGTACCCAATAAAACATGTTTCACTCAACGATACGTAATTATAGATACTACTATACTGTACACGTCGTAGTTAATGAAAATAACCCCGTTAAATGTTTCCATCAACATTTTAATTAAAAAATTACAATAAATAATATGACGACGTCTTAGTATCGAAGTTTTTGACTGCTTTCGTAAAACATTTTTCTTAGAAATTAAGATTAACAATGATTACAATAAACCCAAATTTCGAAGATTATAATTTTTGATTTTCAATGAAGGGAAACCTAAATTCAGGTAATTAGTAATATTTAGTATTTAAACTTAATACATAGTATACTATAAGAAGGTACGGACACGTGATAATAAAATTCCAACAATTAACATAAGAATTACTTTTCAACAATTATCTGTGGTTCAAAATTTTAAATATTTACAAATACGTTCCATCGTATGTGTACGCTTTCACATCGACTAGAATTAATTTCTAATTGATGATTTTCATAATTTTTCATGGAAATCCATTGTACTTTTCATATAAATGCTTTAGAATTACATACTAGTTATATTTTTATTTGACACATGAATATGTTGAACACCTACATACACCATAGAACTAATCATAAAATACCGCGAGGTATATGTACAATATTTATATGAACCACGTTCTAACTGTACACATACTACAATTCTTGCTACTTTAGCATCAAATTTCACAGAAACACATTTATGTTCATTGTATAACTTATTAATAATGATAATTGAAACAGTTTAAACTCTAGTTTGCAAAATTTTCCCTAAATGTTTAGTATAAGTAAAACATTCAAATACTATAAGTTAATAACATTTAAATAATTTGTTTTAAAAACCAAAAAATTATTTCAAAATAACCAATAGAATTTAAAACCAAAATTAAATTCTTAAACCTTTAACTTCATTAATTCTTATTTTAAATACAATTATTAACAACAACCAAGGATTATATTCAAATTCACTGAAATCCATCAATCAATAATTAACAATCTAAACTACACTGATAATTTACTGATATTTTAAAACTAAGCTTATTGTTATTTTAATTTATTAATACATTAGTTAGGTATATCAATAATTAATAATAATAAATAAGACAGATGGTGAAAATATTTGATAGTATGAATATTATTATATTATTATAGAATAGCTGTTTATCTGTTCATAATATAATTTGAAATAAATGCCTTGTGCTTATTAAATTGATAAAAAGTAAAATTAATAAGGGTTTTAATTAATTTGTCTGTCCAAATAAATGAACAAAATTTAATGGTTAGATTTTTGTGTACAATTTAAAAGTGTTATGAAAATAAAGATTATACTTTAATTTTTAAAATATATTAAATTATTTATAAACAAGTAATATAATTATACTTTTACAATAATCAAATATGTACGTTTCACACAATGATCGCATTTATTTCTTAAGTTATATTCAAGTCAATGAATGATTCGTTGGTATTAGAAAATATAAAATTATCAATGGAATAAAAAATGATTGTTAAGTCTTCCTAATGTGTAACCCTAAGTTGTTGTGGTTGAAACGGGTTTTATTCCGTCGGCAACGAAAGGTCGGAAATAGGGTTAAAAAATATTTAGCGCTACTTTAGCAGCAATCGCACATTTATTATTTATAGTTGAAGAATATACGGTTATTTACCCAGCAATTCAAAAAAAAATATATATATAAACTAAAATACTACACAGAGAAATAAATTATGGTGCCGAAAGTTATTTGGAAAAACTCTAGCTAATAAATTATAATAGCATGTAAGGACAAAACAACCCTCTAAACATATGCATGCTGACCCTTTTTATTATGTAAAAAACACATACGTATTTTGATTTTTCATTATATAATAAACAGTATTTAAACAGTTGTAATTACAAATAAAGCAATCGGTGAAAAGGGGACATGGAACAAATTGCATTATTAATAATGAATAATGAGTTTAATATGGATTATTATAATCTAATTAAAAACTATTTTAGATTCTTTACAGATGTTTAAAAAAAACTTTCATTATACTTATTTTTCTTTTCTCTATAAAATACATTAAACATTTCATAATAATATATATTTCCAAATTTTGTCAAACTCACTTTTATAATTTATTTGAATTTATATTTTTATTTTTGCATTTCATTTTCGAATTAATTAAATTGTTGCTTGATTTAAAAAGTTAACTTATAATAAATTAAATAATAATTTAAGTATTATTAATGATAATAAATTAAGTAATAATTTAATAATCTAACTAATAATCTTTAAATTAATAATTAATAATGTTAATAAAATAAATAAAAATAAATATACAGAAAATATAAAATATACAAAATATCCTCAAGAAATCATTTTATTTTTTTCATAAAATAAAAAAAATACAAAAATAATTAAATAATTAAATAATTAATTTAAAAAATATCCATTCCTTAACAAATATTGATTTATTCTTAATATTAAGTACTCGTTTAAATAATTAAGTAATAATTAATTTTTATTCAAACCAGTACGTAAAATATTTAACGTTTGTTACAGTCAAACTCAATGATGTACGAAAGCACTTGTTCGTACCAAAGTGCGTTGGACCTGAAAAGGGTGGCGATGTCATCACCGCCAAATATAAAAACAGAAAATGACTGTCTTCCGGCAACTACTCCTCAATGGCCATCAGTAGGAGTGGCTAGTTGCGCTTATAGGTAAATTGGAAAATAAAGTTTTTCTATAAATACATTATATGTAAACAACTTTAAGCTTAAATAATACGAAAAAAAAAACAATAATTATATTTACTCTAAAAATTAATATATATATATTAATACCCTTATTTAATGATCAGCGTACCTAATTATATTTGAATATGATTTATTTATTAAATATTATATTATATACTAGGTTCGCGTGTAATTCCACTTTTGAACAACTTAAACAGTCAGTGGAAAAAGCAAAGGCCGCATTACAAGACCGTGGAAGTTACTTATCATCTTGTGATCTTGGTACTTCTCCATTTTGTCCGGCAACGCCATCATCAAGAACGCCCGTGACTACTCATCCAAATACTAATTCACTTGATTTATACCAAGATGAACAAAATAATGCCGATAAACGAAATAATTGTAAGTACAAATCTATATAATTAAATCAATCATACTTTTAAAAAATACCTGATAATTTTAAAATCAATGTATAGTTAATAATACAAAGATAAACTAAAAGACATTATTATAAAACAAATACTGGACACAATTAAATTGTTGTTAACTATTATTTGCAAAAAAAAAAACTTCATAATATATAATAACGCATTGAAATTTTCCAAACATTATTATGTATTGTCGTTTTTGCGACTATAGAAAATAAAGTCAAAAAGAAAGAAAACCGTTTCCATGGAAACAACTTTTTGTCGTCATCCTTCAGTGGTTTTGTGCTTTTGGCCCTTTGAGAAAAAAATGGCGCATTTTGGAACAATTTCACTGAGCGCCGACACAATATATTATTTACGAATGTATATAATATAGATATATAAACATTCTTGCTCACCGGGCGTTCGGAAATGAATTGGAAAGAGACAGTACAGGGAGTAAGGGTGGAAAGAAAGAAAATTGAGTACATCCGTTGTGATCTTTTAGTTAAAAAGAAAAAAATGCTTTTTAATGATATGCCAGGGACATCGGTTTTTATTATTGTGATGGACTTCCGACGATCATATCAGACCACGCACATAATCCGTTTATGATTATCATTTCCTTCCTTAAAAATATACTATTTACTTCAAACGTGCTTTATAATTTAAAATAACATTATAATTAATATGGTATACAAATAATATAATATGAACTTTATTTAATTAAGGTTCAATTAAAAAAATGTTTTATCATTTCATTTATAATTTGCATTTTTTTATATAATTATTACTCATTACTCATTAGTTGAAAATTGTTACAAAAATTTAATAAAAAAACATTTTAAATTAATAGATTTATTATTATGTCAAATTTATTTTATGTGGAAACTGAAAATTAATTTAAAATATGTAATATCACCGGCAAAAATATTTTTTAAGTATGACCACCTAAATATAATTTTAACTCGCTGAGGTAGAAAAATATCCATTATTTGAACTCCGTAAACCACTAAATATATTGTATATTTACATATGTACATTATGCATGATAATTTTATTTTGTGTATATTTGTAAATAAATACTTATTCAACGATTTAGCTTATGGTTGAATCATAAAATTGAATTCGAATATGTAGAAAGTAAATTAAATTTAAAATATAAATACAATAAAAAAATATTTTGAAGCAATTTTTTTTTTTTTTTTGTATAAATACAATCGTATTTATTTCTTAAGAAATTATGAAAATACAATCTCTTTTCTTTTAAATATTTGAGTTTTTCTACTTTTTTTTTTGTAACCGCTTTTGTTGTTTTTTTCAACACCTTTTTAGATAATTATTTTGCTGACGTAAACTGAAAATAATGGATTTTCCACATAAAAAGAGGGTAAATTATCATTATAAACAAATATAAAAAAAGAACAGATATGATAAAAAGAAAACCTCCGGAACATTTATACCGATTCCAGGCGACGAGCCGCAACGATAGTATCCTTTTCCGGTGTTCCGGTTAGTTTTCCTGATATATTTTATTTGTCACAAAAGAAAGGTTATTTAACAAAATAAAATTAAAATAACTATTTAAAAACATTTTCCAGACGCTCATGTTATAACAGTGCAATTCTGAACAATAATTTTGAATAATTCGCGAAAAATATGTTTTCCTTCTAAATTGATTAATGAATGCATTGTGTACAGTACACATATAGATACTATTTTCAGATTGGTAAATACTCATTTGCTATATTAATTATTATTTATTAGTGTTTTGTTTGTCGTTTTAACATATTATTCTCCTTTGACATCAAATATTGTTAATATTAATTTCTATAGCAAACTGTGTTTATTTGTAACCATTTCATTTTCAATAATAATAAAAGAATTAAATTTATAACAAATAGCATATTTTATACCAAAACTATTATTTATTGCCATACATGAATAATAGTAATTGTGCAGTTCATTTTATGAAAAAAATATAAAAATGCCTAGTAATTAATACTCTGTTAACTAAGTTATTCTTATTCATGAAAAAAGTCATAGGAAAATAAAGTAAAGAAAACGCTGGAAAGTTTCATTTATATCGGACCAGTTACGATACAAATATTGTACTGTGGATGTACCCCATATATAGAGAAACCAAAGACGCTATAACCTACCTAACGAGATAAAACTGTGTTCTTCGGATATAGGTATGAATGCCACCAATACCAGGGGATAAATCTAAAAGAAAAGTCAGCACTTAAATTAAGAATTGAATTTGTAAAATATTTTTCTGTTACAGAAGTAGATATTGGATTTCAACGTTATTTAATTTATAACATAAAATTAAAATATTATATTTTGTGTTTTAGACATTGATTCATCCAATAGCAGATATGATAAAAGTTCCGGATTGATGCATTTATCATCTTCTACTCCAAATGGTAAGATTTTAATGATAAATTCGTATTCATTATTATAGAGTAATCATATTATAACATTTACAATTAATAATTTACTAGAGTATAATAATTACGAAAAAAATTAATTTAATACATATGTACATACTGTCTGTAAAATTGTATAACAATTTATGTTAAGTTTATTTCTTAATATTGATTTAATCAACGTAGATATTTATGTCTTTCATCCAGTGGCGCACGCGGGGGGGGGTTGTAACCTCCCCCCCCGAAATTTTCTTCAATGTCTAGGTTAAAATTTACAAATTTTACAAGTTTGAAATATGAAAAGCTAGTATTGAATACCTAATATCATTGATTATAGAATAGTCTATTCTACTATTTAAGTCAAAATATATTAAGTATTTGCATAATTTTGTTAATTGTAAAATATGTTATATTTTTACCTTAGACCCCCCCCCCCCCGAAAAAAAATCCTGTGTGCGCTACTGCTTTCATCGATAATTAATAAATACAGATTAGTTGACAATAGTTGTACTTTTGAGTCCTAGGCAAAACGCGCATGTGATATGATTAATAATTGCTTGTCGTTTATTACACAGGTTGTTATTATGAAATGTAAATAAAACAATATAACACATTGTAACTTTGATCGAATCAGGGGACAATAATTTTTTTTAATTTGTACATAAAAAGTTCATTTTAAGCTATAATATACATTTATAAATACTGAAATTTTCGAATGAAACAAAAACTTGTCTCAACATAGCAATTTCTATTAGATGCAAAAATGTAAAGCATAATACTAATAATTTATTAAGTGTGAGTAGTATTGAGAAATTTTTCCACGAAGAATATACGAATAATTACCAAATCTCGTATAATTTTATTATTTTACCTCATACCTCTTACTTATTTCGACGTTCACAATTTCAGAAACCCGCATTTCACACATGTTTATAATGATTTTATTTTGTCTGTTTGTGGTATTAATTTAATTATGATTCGTTTGATAATTAGACAGTCACTAATTAATTGTAATTAATAATGATAAATGGACTATAAGTTAGAGCATATATAGAAGACTGTAGATTAGATCATGTTTGTGTTATATATTTATATTATAAGCATTATTTCTAACTTGAATTGTATCACATTATGATAAATAATAATAATAATAAATACCATACAATTATGGGTTAAGTAAAAAACAACTGAGTACTGCTATTATTTACCAATATTCGTTAAAGCATTTTTAAATGTTTTATTATATTTATAATTTAATAATACAAATAATGTGAAAAATTAAATTTTTTTTTTTTTAAAACCCAAAATATTTAAATAACAATTAAATATACGACTCAGTACTATTTTATTTGTCACAGAATATCGTTTTAAAAGTTCAATGAAGTTTTTACTTTTTGATATATAATATGATATTTTTAAATTATAATTTGTATTACCAAAATTTTGTTTTAACTTAATTAACATAAAAGTGTATGTTTAAAAATGAATACTACTTTTTTCACAGCCAGAAATATACAACATACGTTTAACCAAAGATCAATGAAATAAATCCAACAATAAAATCGTTACACTTTTATAATATTTGAATTTTATTTCTAACATTCTACTCGGAAAATAATAATCCGTGTAAATCAGTAGGCGGAGACGAAAAATGTAACCTCAAGTATACATGTATAATATTGAATTAGTATAAATGTTGTTGGGTGAAAAGGCGAACGCGTTTCCCCCTATTGACGATAGTATGTTTATCTCCGACGGTGGTTCACTTCTAAAGGAGAGGGGGGACTGTCAACCCATCGGTATGAGGGTCACATGCCGTTGCTATGGATACTTGTCGTCAGTCAAATGGCCGCCATCCACTCCGCCTCACCAATCATTCCTATTTGAGAATTTCTTTTCTCACATCTAATAGATTTTTTTTTTCGTTTGCCATTGAATTAGGATACAACGACAAGAACCATTGTTTAGCTTTTATAAAAAAAAAAAAAAAAAAAAAAAATGGAACGTTTCACTCATTTTTAACCAAGATAATTGAATACCCCAACTTCTTGGTTTTTATACAAATAGATACACATTATAAAATTAAAACTACATTTTTAACAATTATATAACTATTATATATTTAAACATAATCATCATTATTTATAAAAATAAATATTTATGTTTATATTTACATTTCAAATTTAAGAACAATTTAAATCAAAATTATTCGTAAATATTTCTAAGCAAATAATTGACAATAAAAATCCAAATCTATAATATAAAACAATTTAAAAGTTTTAATACTTGATTATTTGGATTTTTACTTTGTATAGTATATATTGTAAAATACAAACTCATATTAGATCAATCAATATTAGTTTTTAGCAATTATTTTAAAGTTTTAATAAGTATATAAATTTAATAAATATTTTATTTTTCTAACTATAAATGTTTCAATTAAATTTATAACGCTTATTAGGATGTATTGTTTTCGTATATTCACATTCTTATCTAACAAGCCATATTGACGTTACATCCTAAAAAATACTTCTCTAAAATTTATTATGTTTAGTTAAAATGATAAATATTAATAAACAATATTATTTTTAATCAATTATAAATGTACCTATACTATATAAAATTATTTGGCTAACACACTGTTAATTATATTTTTTTATAATTTATACAGGTTTATCTTCTGTAGGAAAATCATCGTATTTACCATCATCCATATCAGATTCTTTTAGATCATCATCTAAATCAGGTATGCTAAAATTATTTATTTGCATTTAATTAATATAATTAAAGTAAATATAGAAATATTCCATCGGAGAGAAGTGTTATTTTTCATATTACCACAAATTATCATTAATACCAAATATTCTTTTAATTTAATAATTATTCGCCAACAGATTTTTTTGAGTACAAAGATAAAAATTGTGGATTCTTAGAATATAAAAATGGAGTTAATAATTCTGTGCGATATTTATAAAGAGTTTGCAAATATTTTTTAAACATAAATAACATTAATTTGATATTTTTATTGCTTAAAATCATTTCTGAATTACACGTACTCGTCTGAGATAAATTACTATTTAAAATTAATGCAATTACTAAACCTAAATCGATAATGTTTTTGTTGAAAAATGAACACAAATCTCATATATCCATATATAATTATTGTTATTTAGCTATACTCTATTAATTTACATAAGTCCCTGATGGTCATTATTAAAATAAATATGTGTATTTAAAAAAATAAAATACTTCCCAAATAAATTAAAAGTGAAAAAAATTGTACAACCAAACCCTTATAAATACGATTTTAGAAATATCCTTTTTTATTACACATCTAGCGTATTAGAGATCCAACTATGTCAAATTTCAAGGTTATACGTTTTGTAATTTTTGAGGATGTAGTGATCTGTAAGTGAGTGAGTGAGTGATAGACATTTAAATTTTAGATATATTTATATTATTACAGTTTAATTAATTTATGAATCTTAGATTAATCTTAATCGATTTAAAAAATAATTGTTATCCCCACTTCAAGTATGGTTAAAAGTTGATAGTACTGTGTTATGATGTGATGTATTAATGTATAATATAAAACACAATTTGATATTGTAAATATTGATTGAATAATGACATTAATAATTGTTATATATAAGGATAAATAAAATAAATTATGTTTTTTAATTTATACATAAAGGACAACATACTTGAATTGTATAATACTGCACAATAACGTTTTGGTGATATTTCCCTGTAAGTACCAATTACTTAAATGTCGTTTATTTTAAATAATAATTTCCTTAATATATACATGAATGGTTTTCTTGCAGCAAAACCAATATAAAAATCGTCATGTATAATGAAGTAAAAAGGCGTTTGTTTGTTTCTGGATAAACTAATATTATATGATTTACAATGGAATTTACAAAACGACGATTATATATATATTTTTTTTATTTTCCTATAGTAACCTAACCTGACTTAAAGATAAACAAATATTTTCATAGGCAAAGCTGGATAATTCAGCTAGTATATAAATATATATGAAAGAATAAAACCATAACATTGATTATCGTGTTTATTTAGCACCTAATATAATAATAAGCTAGCTGCAGGGTGTTGGCGCGGCTTTAGTATGTAACGCGTATAGCGTGACTGACATCCCTTTTTCGCGGTAAACTGTATAAAAGCCGAGGTGTCTTTTCGTGACAGTCATCGAGTCAAACAATGCAATATATAATTTCACATAGGCGAGCCCGTTCTGAGAATAAGGTGGGGTAAGGGCAACAGTTAACTTGGTTATGATTAATGGTCCTGGCTCCCTCGCCAAACAACAGTCCATCCCTATTAGCAATAAATAAAAATATATACATTTCTTTTTCTTTTTTTTGTTTACCCAGCACGCTTTGTCTCGAGGCTTTCATTCGTATCCACCCTTCACCCCTCACACACACAAGTTAACCTTAGTACCATAAAACATTTGACTCAAGATGTAATCAAAACCGAGAAAACCCACTAACCCGTAAATAATGGGGGTTTTATTTACTTTACCAATACCGCACAGGGAGATGTATTGCAAATCAGGATCACATTCGAGTAATATATTCACATTTTTATATAAACTATATAAATATTCTCATACACAATCAATCATGCCCGGCGTTATGTTATTTTTCGATTGAAAAAACCAATGCAACGCTTAAACGTTTGATTGATTCTATGTCGATACGGTATGTACGAATATAAATAGTGAATATAATAACATGTCTTTTTTAAATACTGATATTAAGCATAGTAAAAATCACTTTATATGACCACCTCGAAAACGGATAGTTAATAAACTGTAGTTATAAGTTAATAGTACAAAACGTGCATAGATATAAACATACGAGTACATAGATATATATTGTGAGGAGGAGACTATATTTTAATTTTAACATCGTTCCTACAACTGAGATTAAAATAAATACCTTCTACTACATTAAGTATAAGATATTCGGAGGAAAATGTTCAATAAACTGCAACATAATTCATGTGTAATTAACTGTTAAAATATATTATTATAATATCAATTACCAAAGATGATTGGATATCAGATTTTAGCTAATTTTAAATAATTTTTGTACTAAAACAACTGTTTTTATTGTTGAAACTCGCGTCGTATAATATCTACATGAGAAATTTATCTACCACAATTGTGTGTTGGCATTATATGTTATCTACAATTTTCCACCCCACAATCTGTAGATTGTAGGTGTCGTCTGAGCATCTGGGCATTATTACATTAATGAACTTTTTTTCATGTTTTCAAAAAACTGGTCAAAAAGATTATTTGATGCATTGAGTGAACGCCACCACTCTTCCATCAACTGCCATTCCAATAAGTTAGTGGCACCACGTGTTTTTATGACATATTTTACTTTAACACGTCTCCACGTAGACTCTATAGATTGGATATTGACCCCTGTTTTTGATCAATAAAGTGGAACTGGTGGTTTACAGTTCTATGCACATAGCCGAGGTCACTTAAATTGCTGTAAGCCCTCCATTCATCCGAGTTGATGTTATAATTATAGGGTTATATCTGCAATATCAGTATCCGTTCAAAGTAGATATCACCCGAAAGGTAGATAACATATAACGCCATCAAAGTGTAGGTAAATAGCATATGACGCGAGTTCCTTATTGTTTCATGTAATTACATTTTTGCTTCAATTAAGACGTACGAATGAATGTCGATAGTTTTTTTTCTGTAACCATAAATACTTCCGTGATTCACAACATGACATGGAACATATTTAACAGTTAAAGATTAGTTTAATTCCAAATTTCTTTTCGGTAGATCTATGCTAGAATTACTTAAAATAACAATATAAATTGTCAAAGACCCGATACTAAAAGAACAGATTTTATGCATGCATATTATATGAGAACAATAGTTATTTGCGGCGTGTGCGCATTGTCACGACATGGAGCCCCTCAATATATACGAATACAACTTCATCTAGTCGAACGTTATTTTGCATAATAAAGAGAATTTATGACGATAATTATTATAATATTGTTACCAGTCAAATAAATCGAAGTACGTTCATACACACGTTGGTTACTTTTGTCTGTCGTCGATACCATATCACATAAACTTCTATATTCCCCTTAAAATTCAACCATCGGAGTCTTTCAATGTAATAACTCCTGTCCTCCCCGACCCCAGTTCTCTACTGAAAACACCCCCGATTCTCATCCCTTCTACTCGTCCCCTTGCAACGACCGACCGTCGACGACGAGTTTTCGAACATGACTAATCTCTATGGGTTTCCGTTTCAGAATGAAAAGTCGGCGACGGCGTACGGTTTCCTGCCGTACGCACGGCCCGAAATAATAGCCTCAGTCCACACGCGTCGCACGGCCTTTGTCAATTAAAGGCCCTTTTGGTCCATTTCACCAGTGGACGACCGCCTTTAACGAGCGACCCTTTCACTATATCCCGTAACTTAACCATTGTTTGTTTATGATTAAAACCAAACGGGCCAGAAAAAAAATATAAAAAATACGTGCATACCAAAAAAAAAAAAAAAAAATAATAGTGATAATAATAAAATAATAAAAAAACGCTGATGCGTATAATGTATACAACATTTTGTGCAGTACATCTCACATGACATTGCAATCGTTTTTCACTTTTATGACAACCGACGACTATGTATACCATATCACTATATCACTATCGTTTTATTGAATTAATTTATACGTTTTTATTGACAGAAATTTGTATTTTTATCACAGTATATGTCTTTAATTACTTGAAAACCAAACAAAAAAAAGTATAAATCTAAATTGAAAACGTTTAAAAAATATAAAAAGGTTTATTTTAAATCATAATAACTGTAAACCCGTTGTATTATTTTATATATAATAAATACAAATGTCAATTTATTCTAATAAATTATATTATTGTAATAATTTACGTTATTTTTATTTTTATTTAACATCAACAAAAATAATGATAGCTAAGAAAAATCAATAAATGTTTAAACTATAAACGTACCTATTTAATATTTTATAGTTGAATAAATAAGAAATGGGAGTACTAATAATTTTGTTATATCATTTTATAATAATCTCTTTGATGTATGCATATCGATGTATAATAGTTCAAATATTATGCAAATGATTATAAATTATATTAAATATCTGAATCAATCTCACGACATGTGTTTAAATTTTATACTATAATGATTTGCACCTGGTACATAATTAATAAAATAATTTAATAATATAAAAATCATATTAACTTCATCACCCTAGTCACCATTAAAATACCACAGACAAATTTAATATTATTAACAATAAACCAAAGTGTTCATGGTAGACACTAATCACCCCTAACATCGATTCATTATTCTGGTATACCTATACCGCTGCAGCGTAACTATCACCTGTCTACATCTGCCGACCCAATAAGTCTAATATCAATTTGTATTATGTTCATTGTTTAACCCCATTAACACTACACATTTACACGTCTCATGCTATGCATCAAATCATCACTTTAATATAAGTGAATTAATGAACTCATTGCTATTAATTTATATATAGTAATATAATATGATTAAAAATATGTTTAAGTACCTACTATAGGTATTGGAATAAATTATATTTTATATTCATATTATTATATGTACTAACTATATAGATATATACTCGTATGCATACTAAAAATACATTCAATACAGCGTTATTTATCTA